AGAGAGAAACGGCGAGCAGCGACGTCGGCAGAGGGCTGACGTCTCGATTCGTTCGTTCGCATTCACAAGAATTTCACCGACATTTAGTTTAGTACCGTTTTTGGCTGCAGTCGCACTACGGACAGTTTATTCTAATTGTGTGCTACCATCCCATATACATCCAAACCTACAAATATTATTGCTATAGTTAACGATATTAACTACACATATTAAATGCTATTATACACGGGCCGAGCAAAGCCATTTTAAAAGCGGTTTACTGCCCCATCCACACACAAAACACATGAAAAAATTAAATTAAATCAATTGAAATCGTAATCAAGTCCAAAATACACAGCGAAGAGAAAAATCAAATAAACTAAATTATATGGTTATCAACGTTGAAATCTAAATGTATAATAACTAACTATTTTCTATGAAAATCGAGTGTTTCGTTTCCGAATCGGGAAAAAGTTAAAGTTAATAATTCAATTAATGTTAACGCCAAATATAATCCGACGAGAAAAAGCGCATGCAACAAGTTAAATCCAGCCGACAGTTGTAAACCAAGTTAGATCCGTACACAGATACACCCCAAATACCACTACCAACACGAATGAATGCCCGGTATACACACACAAACGCAAAAATCACACACACACGCAGACTATAACAATGTCAAGTGAAAACATTCTCTGGAAGCAACAGGTTTCCCCCTAATAAGTGTTATAAAGAAGCAACCAACAGTCATCACCCAGAACTGTTCGTTTTGAAAAAAAGTAAAGAAAAAGAGAAAGAGAGGTAGAAAGAGAGCACGAGGAATAAGAAGATAAAGTATAAAGAAAGAGAAAGAGCGGAGAAAGAGCCACCTTTCAGTCGGTAAAATTGTATGAAAATAATAGAATAAACTACAGAAGACAGTTTTTAAGTGGGTTAAAATAGAAAAAATTAAAAATTAGTGTGACTGCAACCAAGTGGAACCGAATTTAACCAAAACCAAAATCCTAGCCATCCCCGAACCACAAGATCAACTAAAAGAGTTCTTAGAGCGCATCTGAAAGCGCCAACCTCAAAGAACCATGGAATTCTACGATGGCGACCTCAAAGATATATGGGACTCTGACTTAGATCCGGTAAGTGTTCAAATTACCGCTCCAAAGCAAAGAGGCGAATAGCAACATGTACCTTATATCAGGCAGAACCATTGATACTTGAGAGCTTTTATTACAGCAGGTATGCTTGATACGGGCCATATGTGAAAGTTAAAGCCGACAACTTGAACGAAACGATAAGAAATGGTTCGAGATATAGGTAGCTCTTATAGTTTATAACACACTGAAATTATAGGTGGACATTTCTCAACAAAGGTTAGGTCATTCGACTAAACTTGATGAACTCCGGTCTTTGACCAGAGGCATCTTGAACACACGATTATTAAGTCATTTCGGTATACATTTTAAACACGCAAGAGTCGTGCTTCCACAAAACGAAATTGCATTTAAAAATCCAAAGAAAAACATTTTAATGACCCACATTAAGCTTATCAGCTGGGTAGGAAAACGTGAACATATTCATGAGCTGAATTCTAAGTATGATGATCGATTTGGAAAGGAAAGAAGAAACAAATTAAGGGTAAAGGGTCCCACGGAACTTAGCTAGTTTTCTTTTCTCTCTCTGCATATTAAGTAGTTCGCATTTATATGTATGCGATCACCCGAGAGAACGTCGATCACCACCGAAACTGGCCTACGATCAAACCTGTCCCAAACAACCTCATAAAACTGTCCGCTCGCCGAATCACCAAAAACCCAAAATGGAAAAAAATAACCGTATGGTGTAAAAGAATCCAAAATCTAATCGAATTGCCCGGCTACCAGACATCTGACACCCGTAAAATACAACGCACCTAGAATCACAGTTTTGATTTCGTGTTTGTGGAGGACGTTCTTCGAGTGCCGAGCCCATTGGCAGTACCCAACCAAGAAAACTTTGCCAAAAAGATATGATATGGCTGAATCGAAACAAACCCTATCCCAGGGTGCCGAAAAGGAAAGGCAGTTCTCAAGGCTTTTATCTTGGCAGCTACGTGCCCGTTTTGAGAGAAAAGACAATTTTTAGTGACTTTTTGTGTTCGAATATATCAATTTACATGGTTTTTGATAAGAGACAGCGACTATATCATGCAGCCAGGAAACATTTCTGTTCATAACTTAGAAGTTTCGCTGTCCTACAAAGTTATTTTGTGTTTAGCGATAATGATAATTGGAGTTTTCCAAGAAATTAAAAGAAATTTATCATTAGCGAACGATTTCTGTTTTGGTTGTTTTGTACCCGAAGTTCTTTCTCTATCACCCCCGCAACTCCTACTGCTCATACGGCAATCGTGAAATGTTTCAATATAATGAAATGAGTGTGTGCTGGGGGCTGAGCTTCATTTGCGGAGTACTCATAGATGTAGATGCCGTCGTCTAGTGCTTATCGCTGCGGAAACAGTAATGAATACATGTCGTCCGCCCGTCCATCTAGCTCCAATCCGTTCGTTTCACTTGTTCTTGCTTTTGTACAGAGAAAAAAGAAGATCTATAAAAAATTAAAAAATATTTTTTGATGATTATGCAGAACTAGCAAGAGCGTTGTAAAGGTCCGGGTTCAAATCCCACCTCAAGAAATCTTTTTAGATTTTTATATATTCGAATAATGTTAAATTAAGATGCATTCTAAGTTTGATAACGAGCATAAGCATAAAGGTCCGGGTTCAAATCCCACCTCCCTCCCAAAAATACTTTGTAAATTTTTATAGATATGTGAATAATGTTAACTACAGGTGCGTTCTAAGTTGTAAAACGAATGTTATTGTGATAGCCTTGATCGAAAACTCAAAGGTCCGGGTTCAAATCCCACTGCTGTCCTATGATTATTTATGTTTTTTCTTTCCGTGTAGAGGAAGCTCTGCTGGCCGAGCACAAAAGAAAAGAATCTATTACGGCATGGGAGGAGGACACATGTGGAGTTGATAAGGGGTCGCTATCAGCTGGTCTAAATGCAAAGTAATGACTTTTTTTCGCCTGCCGCTGCTGCTGCTGCACTTTGCAGCTAGTCAAATAGAGTATGGCTCGTCAGTGTCATTACTATTAGGAGATAATAATGCGCGCCGGCGACTACTCGACTTGTAGACAATGTAGACGGAGGGACAGAAATAGGCCCAATGCCCGGGAAAATGCGCGTGCAGTTTTTATAGGTTTTGTTGTATTGCGTTTTTTCCCGCCCCGTAAGCAGTACAGTATACCCGTACCCGGGGCGTGCGCTCAATTACCTCATAAGTATCTCAAATGCCCATGTGTGCCCATAACAAGAAATTATCGGTTTCTGCGGCAAGTCGCCGTGCTTATACCCTCCAACGCCTGGTGGGAAGTAAGATCAAGACCAGGTCAAGATATCATCCAGGGCCAGATAGCGAAATTCCCTTGAAAGATCTCAACCTTTTGTTTTGCTAGCTCAACCCTATCAGTTTTCTATTTTGGCATTATTTTAATAATATAAACTATTATTCTCAAGTCTCTTCGGGCATATCAACAATCTTATCTTAAAGTATTTTGTAACCAAAAAATAAAGCAAAAAAAACTGGCTGCCAGATAAGGCCTGAAATGCCCAATTTTGATTAGCTTAGCGCACCGCTTTCCACTTAACCGGGTGACGAAAATAAAAAATTAATAATAATTATAATGCCATGGGATTTTTTTGAACCAAAACAAAAAACTAAAAATAATGACTTGGCATACCGTACCGATAATCAATTTTATTAAATTGGCAAGTCGCTCTATTAAGGGTATGAAGTTGGAAAGTCCCAATAGGGGTTAGCAGGTCTTCAGAGAGCTGCGACAATGTCACGTGCTCCGCATTGCCGAGATTCCGATCATCGCTATCAAGAAATCCCCTACCTTTTCATTCAGAGATCTTGGAGTGGTTCCCCTCTCTATCAGTTCAGAGCGACGAAGAGTTGACACAGCGAAATCTCTAAAGCTCTTTACAAACACAAATATACGTGTACAATCGGGGGAATTCTGTGAAAATCGATGGGCGGGAAAACCCAATAACAATACTGATCGGTAATCATCCGGTAATACATTTTTCCAAGAATACACTTTATAAAGAAAACAATTTCCGGTGCAAATCAAAATAGCAAAGTTTCAACTTGACGACTTTCGATTCTGGTCCAGCCTTGATAAGAAAATACATAATAAATTTATTTCTGCTGAGTGCTGAAATTTTCATATTTCGTTGATAAGAAGCACATGGAAACAGAATGCCTAATTCAGCGGATTTAAAATTGAGCTTATCTTCTGAATAACTAAGTAGATGTAGAATTCTTATGTAGTACAAAATAAACGAAAGGGTTGGGGGTGGAAAGAAAGCGAAATCTGGGGGTCCGAAGACTAGGCTTTGAGCTGAAAGTCATCAAGATCGTCGCCGATCTTACCTCGAAGAAGAAACTCTTGAGTGGAACTCTACTGGTAACAGTAAACTACCGAAAAAGATTACCTTTGGCAAAATCGGAAAAAAATAAACTGCATTTGCCTTCACAGAAGAATGCTGACCAAAGTCAAAACCCGTTGACTTTCCTAAATACTTTTATTGGACAAAGCGTAGAGAGAGAGGTTGAGAGATAAAGACCAAAGAAAGGGGAAAACTGCAGCATTAACAAGAAGTCAAGAAGTCAGCAACTTTTCCCCGCTTCCATTGAGATACAAGCGAACAAAAAAAATTTGTATATTTTTGACATTTATAGAGCTGTTCTTTTGTGGGTTAACTTTCGCTTATATAAGCAGAATATGGACAGGCCAAAGGGGGCGTGCATAATGGTATTAGCAATTTCTTTTCGGCCAATTCGATACCCTCTATGGTCCATGTAGCCCTGCTGCCTCGATGAATGCAAATGTGCATTTCGTAGAGTTTAGGCCGAGATTTTCTAACGGCCGAATGCAAGGCCCGCTATTTAAAATGCACACGAGAATACTACTTACTATCCAACAAGAAACGGAAAACAGAAAAACGTGCTTGGCAACAGACTTCGACAGCGACTTCGACTTCGGGAGCTAAAAGTCTCGACAATCGACTCTCGAGAGCATATTTGAATAACTAGTTCGAGCTGTGCACGATACTTTCAATATGGTCTATCAACGTCTCTATATCTATATCTATACGATACGAAATACGATTTTTGGTGTATTGGTGTGTTGTATTGCTTAACTTTGACATTTCCAATGAGCCAAGCGTTGCAATCTGCAAAACAGGTTAAAGCACAAAGCGAATGCAAAGAAACCCAGCGACTATTGCAAATTTAGCTCGCTCCAGCGACACAATTTCTATGCCAAAAGTCCAAACATATGGCAAGGCAGCAGAAAAGCAAAAAGGCAAGGAAAAAAGCGCGCATAATTAAATTTGTGCCCCCACATAGTATTGGTTTACATGTGCGCCAGTCTCGCTGGCTCCTCTCGCTCTCTAGATACAGATATAGATATATATACACATATATTTTCCCATTCATGTCGGCCATTCATGCGGATTTACACGCGCTGCGCGTTGCAGGATGCGCAGATATACGTAGTGTCCACGCGGAAAACCCTCTCTTAGCTTACTCTTTTTGGCTAGATTTCGAGCAGCTCTCTTAGCCAAAAGAGTGGGCGGCCATTTGGCCAGCTGTTCGCGTTTTGTTTTTGACGTCAATGTCAGGACGTCGGAGGAGTTGTTGTGGCCAGGGCCCGAAGAGTGTGAATTATTCATGGAACCGCTCTGAATTTACAATATGTTACAGCTTCCTTCTTATCGAGCAACGGGGTCTTTGTGGTAGTAGGCGTGGGCGTAGCAACATATTGCCAGTGCTAATGAAGTGTTATACGATAAGTGTAACAGCAGGCAACAGGCAACTGGGAAGCAACAGTTGGAGGCCTTTTGGAGGCGGAGAAACAATGGGAAAGGAAGTTGACTTTGAGGATGGGGTTTCGACTAAGGGATGGGGTTTCGAATCGACCACCCACTGCTGTCACACGTTATTGGAGTTGATACCCCTTTAATCGCTACAGACCTTAAGGATCTCGGGATGTGGAACAATATTTTATGGCTCCCTTCTAAAAGACAGATTAAGATAAGTTCAAGAGATGGATTGGGCGGATAATGGATTTACTCGACCTTTGATGTTCTTTAATGTGGCCCCAAAAACTTTTTAAAGAATAATCCTTAAAAAAGATATAATTACTATAAAACATTATAATGACCTAAAACCTATTAACTTTTTAAGCTTTAAAGACTTTTTAAAGATGTTAACGGATAGCTTGATAGGACCACCCCTTACATTGAAATAACGCAACTCTAAGTACCATATGGACATTCAGGACTCTTTGTAAAAGTTAAGGGAGAGTGTTTTGAGCTTAAGGTTTGTTTGCAGCTCATATGACAGATGATATATTATAAGTAAACGCTCCTTGTACTTTCTTTAGGTTGTAAATTTAAAAACGGTAATGCATTTTCCAAATTTGTTCATTTCGTAACCCCAAAACGTCCTCTAATCAGATTCCAAATCTTCGCTCAATACATCAAAATCCATTAGAGAGTCATAAGTTAAGGCCTAGAATTCCGTAATTACCCGCTGACAGCAAATTTTTCAAGCATTATCTTTCCGAGAAACCTTGAAAGTGAATTCATTATGGGTTCTCCAATAAGGTCGCCCAGCTCTGACTCATCGGCGCATTGCCAAATTGGTTATGTCTGTTTTGCATATATGCAGATGTACGCTTTTGGCTTTTGGCCGCTCTTCGAAGATTTTGTGAAAGGCATTAGACGGTCTCAAAAGCTGAGACATTGCGGATCTCTGTTGAGCACCCACTATGACTATCTCAACACCCAGACCGAACCGCAAAAAAGATACGATCTCTGGGGATTAGGATAACGAAGACTGAAGATTGTGGGGGTTTTAATGGGGGGTGTCTTGAACCTCCCTGGGCACCATCTCCTCGCATTATTCCCCGCTTATTTTCATTTTTATTTTTCGGTTACTTTCACAATGATTTCCGTTTGGCGAATCGTTGGTGTGTGTACGTCAGACGTGCTGCTTACGTACTTTCCTCGCACAAAAAGGCGCACAAACATATGTTGGCGATAAGGTGAACCCGCATCGGACCTTCCGCCCACCCGTTTTCGCTTTTCTCCATCTATTTATACACATATTAGGTTATATTTATACCGAACGCAGGGCCAGTACGTCATGGAATTCTCAGAGGATTTGCATTTGCGGCTGCAACAGGTCGCATACGTAATATTCCAGTTAATTTCACGTTCTGATTAAGCCATTTGTAGTGCATTCTGGCGGGGGATTTCTGGTTAATTCGCACTTTCTTTTCAAGGCAAAGGCATTTGACGATGGCCATTTACATCGTAGCCCCATTACCATTTACCACGCTCACGAAAAACGAAACCGTAGCAATTTTTCAAGTTAAAAGGCAGTTCAGTTTCTGTGTTTTTGTGTTTTTTTGGTTTCTGCTCTTTTTGAATTGTGGGAGCACCTTTCACTTTACCAACACACCAGTGGCGAATGATGCAGCCTGGGCATAAAAATTGGAAAGAAATAAAGACTCGGCTAAAAAATGCTGTGCACAACACAAAGAAAACGATACATACATAATGATCCGCACGCACACGGCTGCAGTTTTATAAATGTGAAAGGTTTTCGCTTGCTGCAACATTATTTAATCAATCCAAATTGTGGAGCAAGCGAAAAAAAAGCAAAATCGAAAAAATGTATAGACAAAACAGTCAAAAAGGAAAAAAAAACAAAAAACCCCAAAGGAGATACAGAGGTTTAAAAGAAAGAAGAAAGAGGAGAAACCAAACCGAACGAAAAAAACTATAACCAGTTTAATTATTTTTATGAAATTGTATGTTTGTGGCTCTTTTTCACCCTTTCTTGTTTCGATTTTTTGTATTTTTCGGGAAGAGAGACCTGAAGACTGGAAATTTGAATAAAATTGTATAATGGGCAGACCGGGGGACCCGGCAACACCAACACCCATATGTGTATGTTAATTTCATGCCGTAAGATAAAGAAAACCCCTCCGGCGGCTATTTTGATTTTTGCCTTTTTGTTTTATTCCACCTTTATCGGTTCCAAAGTAGCTGGTTGATTGGGTTCCCAAGTGACGTACCGAGTGCGGGGCACCTGGAAGAAAAGGCAGAACGATTCTCTGCACGTGACATCCGAACGGGGCAACAGGTTTTTGTGAATCGCCAACGAAATGGGGTCAAACGATTGCATTTCACAGGCTCCGATGGTTAGGCAATCGATCGCCGAGCCAAGTCAAGTCGGGCTTAGCCGCGTTCAAGCGGTTTTTGTGGCCCAAGAGGCACTCCAGCTCCATCTCCATCTCCATCACCAGTTCCAATCCCAACTTCAACTCCAAGTCGAGCATCGCACCACACCACACCGCACCGCTTTCCACTTGAGAAGGCGCCCTTAGCCATTTCACCGGTGCCGCGCTTTCATTGGAACACACAAATCGGAGAGGTGGCAGGGAAAGGGGCGAAACCCACCTGAAACGTGCAACAAGCGGTGCTACAGGTGCACCCGGAAAAATATTTACCACAAATGGTCATCTATTCGATGGGATTGCATAACCATAACTCGTAATATCACGTAAAGAAGGAAAGTTATTAACGTTAGATCAAACCGGAATTTAGTTAGTACTTTTGAAATTCCATAAAGCTTTTACAAAGAGGGGATTAGCTTTTACTTATTGCCTTCTTTTTAAAAGAATTCCATCTTAAACGTTTTTAATTTATTAATACCATGAAATATTGGGAGAGTTTTATACTTCTTCCACCTTTCTTATACACAAGTATTCCAAATCTATAAAATGGTATAATATTCCTAAAGTCAAAAGATTAGCGAATTTACCAGTGATCGCAAAGAAGCTAATCTTATGTTTTAATATAATACTATTATAATACTTTTAATGCAGACATCAAAGTGTAAAAGATAAAATAAAATAAATTGCTTTTAACAGAATGTTGAATCTATAAAAATCCACTTCAGCATTCTCAAAAAAATGGATCACTGAACACATTATTGGAGTTAAGAAACTAATAGGCGTAATGTCAATATTTATCTTATAGTTTACACAATTTTCTGACAAGGCCGTTTTGACGTATATTATTTTCCAGTACTATCAAGTCCCTGGGTTAAACTTCAGTTTAATATTGATAAGATTTGCGACCCGATTGATGTATAAATACAATTCAAAATAAGGAATAGTTATCTTAGCTCTGTGATATGGGGGTTGGTTTGTTATTATAAGATATGATTCGGGATTAAATGGGTACGGTGAGGCCTGAGATAAGATATGATGACGAGGATAGGGAATTGCAATATGGAACTGCTGTGCGGATTTTCCCTCTGTGTAGAGCCCCACCTCCCGAACACGATGCCCCCACCTGATCCGCAGCAGCTAACAAAAGAGGTAGCAAATGCCTGCGAGCATTTTTGCTGTCTTTTTCATTTTTTTCTCCTGGCTTTCTTCTTTCTTTCATCATCGGCAGGCAGCATACATATTTGTATACAGACCGATGGGTATATGTTTGTACGACTGCCAGTATCTGTGTTCTGTATCCCCGAGTGTGTGTGTCTGTATCTGTGTTGCCCGTTTTGGTAGCATTTTTCAAGAATTGCTAATTCTCAACAATTCCCGAGGTTCGTTGAACTCATCATAAACACACACCACACACTGGGCACGCACACTCTCATTTTATTTACGCTTCTCGGTGCTTATAAGTAGTATACTGTATACTATATACCATACTGCTTGCTGATTCTTGGCCCGATGTATGGCGATGGCTAAAATGCGGAGAAAGCACTTGTGTATTTGTGTTTTAATGCACTGTCCATCGAAACGAAAAAATGCGAGGGCCGGCCCACGAGTATTAGCATAATGGGCGGATCATTAATTCTCGGTTATTCCATACTTTCGTTGGCTTTCAGAATTTATGAATTACAGTAAACATCGAATGACAGTAGTCGCTTTGGTCAAGAGAAACTGCTGCCTAATTTCGCACTTTCTTTGGCCATTTGCCATTTTTTTAATTACTGGAAAAGTCATTAACACTAAACCGTTCATTTTTAATGAAACTCTGTTCAAAGTTGGGAAATATATATGTCATATGGTATTACAACATATAACTAAATACAAAAACATAGGCATGGCCTTAATAGATACTTAAAAGTATTTAAGTCAATGTGTTTATACTAATCAGTAATTATCGATTTTACTACTACTACCTCCAATTTAATTCATGATCTAACTTAGAATTTGCAAAGTCATCCGAAATAATAATAGACGAGTAAGAGAGGCATACAAATGATAAATTAATTTTATTGCTTCCTAGAAAAGCTAAAATTCTAAACCAAAGTAAAAAACACCGTTCTCAGCTCGGAATTAAGGCGAATTTATAACTAATTTTATGTAACGTGTTGACGTATTGAAATGGAAACTTTGAAAAGTAAAAACTTGTTTTAGTCTTAATAGTAAAGCCTTAGAGATCATTTTGGTTACGCCTTTGTTTATATTTTCTAATCTTTTTCTTTTATTTCTACGATTTGATATGGCAAGTCAAGAGTTTGTAAATTTAATATGATTAGAGAGTTTATGATATATGGAAGTTAATCAATTTAAAAATTAGGCCGACTATAGAGAAAATAAATTTTGAATTTGTAATAAACATATTAGAAACCGAATTATTTTCACAAGTGATCTTTACTTTTCTTCAATGAATAAAGCCATTAAACCAACCTCGTTTGTGATTGCGAGTACCGCATTAAGAGTTTTTAAAT